ACTCATGAGAGTCTCTTGGGAAATCCCTCCTAAGGCTAGAGATTATATATGACCATGACAGGGTGGCTTCCTTTTACAGCAGAAACAAATGAAAATAGCTGACTGCCGTTATTGTCTATGTTCTAAGCATGGCCCAGCAAGGAAATGTGTGACCCTTCCCAGAAGACAGAATTAAGTGACAAAGGCAGAGAGCTTGCAATACTTGTCAAAATCCCTGTGAGGAGATAGTTCCTCTTGGTGTCCAGAAATTGTACTTCCTTTCTCTATAATGACTCTGTCAAAGAAGAGAATGACTTAATGACGTGAAAAAGTGGGGAGTAAATTTCCAGCAATGAATGGCCCCAAAGGGACTCAAAGAATTATAACAGGATTTGATCAAGGGCCCATGATTTCTGTCCTGAGGAGAGTAGGGGAACGGTGTGTGGACATCACATGCCCTCCTCTATGAAGCAGTCCCCCAAGCACACCCATGACCAATGGCTGTGCAGAGTTGACAACTGACTCCTTTCCCCACCATGTTGACTCCTAAGACCAAGTGAGCCAAGCCAGCTGAGGGACCTGGACAACCTGGACCACAGGGAATCCCATCTTTCCCAGGAATGGAAGTTGTGTGGGAAATATCCAAATGTTGCCTAGCATTGCTTTGGATAAGAACGAAAGGCACAGGGAAGTGCTTGACAGTTATCTGCCCTCAACTTTCATCTCGTTACACCTACAAGGACTGAGAGATGACCCAAACCCAGAAAGAGGCATCACTCCTAATTTTGGCAGGCTCTGGTCCAACACAAAGATTCCCAAACACTAGTGTGATCCTGGCCCGATTTGCTTCATCCTGGGTCACCACTCCTCTTCCTGATGTCCTACTCAAAATTCCTCTAGTCTTGTAATGAGTTGGAAATCCTTCATCCTTGTTCATCTCTGCGTTACTAGTGGACCATAAATCCTCCTCCTTCCCGGCAGTTATTTACCATCTTCCAACATCTCAGCTCTCAAGCCTCCATGATTTTCTTGGAGAGCTCCCCTAGCATTTCCAGTGCACTGCTCACATTCCTTTTCTCCACGGAAGAACAAGGCAGCACCCTGAGCTGGCACTCCCTGGGCCGGTGTTATCCTCAGCCTCTAGCCCAGGGTCCCACTATGGGAAGGACCAGATCTGTCCTCTGGATCCCCCATCATCTCTGCCATGTTACACATGCATCATCTTTTCTTCTCTAGGGAAATCCAACAAACTTTAAAATTTCCCTTATGGATGAATGTGAGAGATGGGGCAAGTGAGTGGGTCATGGGCTACATCCCCCTGATAGCACCTGCATGAAATTTCTTCCCAAGATAATCTTACTAAACTCACACAGTGAAGCACGCTCTGCTTTTCTGGTTACAACTACTGTTCTCTAACATTGCACCCTCCCAGGGTTCTTATGCGACATTCCTGTGCCAGCTTTCCCTGCATCCCACCTGGTTCTTCTATTCTGATAGTTTAGCAGTCCGTGGGCCATTTCCTCTTCATTTTTATACTGTGTCTCTTATCTAGGACGTTGTATCAAGTCTACACCACAGTTCAACATCCCTGCATTCCAATATCCTCCAAATATCACCTGCCACTAAAACCTTCAACAGCAACTGGTCATGAGCACATCTGAGTCTGGAGGACTCCCTTTTCCTGTGCTGAGTCCACCCCACGTGGGTGCTGGAAGTTTTATTTTCCTGTGCTTTCTGTCCTTCGTTCCTTGTCCTGTACACTGGGGTCTCAGCTTCATCCTGAGCTGTCCCTGCAATGAAGCACATTCTCCTGTTCCACTTGCCCTATATTCTCACATTCCTTAATCAAATCACTTTTCTAATATCGATTGCCCTTCACAGCACATGTCAGCAAATTAACGTTTCCCCACCAGCAGTAAGTTCGAAAACAGTCAGAAAATCCCAACTTGCTACATTCCTGAAAGATGCCAGGTTGCAAAATCTGGGAAAATTGGGTGTGTGTGAAAAATAAGCATCATGTTCTGGAAGCTGTGCTCTGACCAAGAGGGATTTCCAACATCTGTGTTTTGCTTCAATGCTCTCTGCTCATTTGTTCCACTAGCGAAGTGTCAGTATTTATAGCACCAGGCACACCTCCCAGGCAGGCGGCACAGGCAGCTCAGCTTCACCAGGAGTCTCAGCAGGAACGAACAGCCAAGGTGAGGTGCAGGAACTCTCCAACAGGTTCCCTCTTTGGAGATTCTCTTTCCCCACCAGCGTTCTTGTGCTGCATCCCAGCTCTCTGCATCTTTCCTGAATCTACTGTTCTCACAGTTAGAACTCACCAGATGTGAATACTTTGGGCATAGGGATTTTGTTGTGTGCTTCTGCTGTGTGAGGTAGTGATGGGTAGAGCAGGCATCTTACGAATATTTATGGATTGCTTAACTCACCTCATGTTACACAGAGGTGTAGCATAACAAAGTTTCCAAATGCCTTTTGGAAATTTCCTGTACAGTTGTGTTCCAGGGACGATAGGGGATGACTGAAATGTAAATTGGTTTATACAAAGCGCATTGCAATCTCTCCTACAGTAATCCACTGGGATTCCTGTGGGAATCCTACAGTAAAGCAGTGGGAAATGGAGGACTAGAAACTCTGATCACAATCTATATATTTATCTATATCTATATCTATCTATCTATATCTATCGTCTATCTATCTATCCATCCATCTAATCTATCTATTAGGTTTTCAAAAAAGTCATGACGCACTTTTGCAACGAAACACAGAAAAAATACGTCATGACTTTTCTGACAACCCAGTAGTTGCATGGCACTTATCTAGGAACGCACGTGTGGGTCAACATTACCAAAAAAATACAACAAAATATAAGAAAAAATTCACCCAAATGGTGTCATCTTTGCTTGACTCTCTGCAGCAGGATGAAGCTTTCCACAATCATCATTTTCTGCTTTCTGATCCTGGGCGTCAGCAGCCAAAATTGGAGAACATTCCTCAGGGAAGCTGGTCAAGGTAAGGACAAAAGAAATAAAAAAACAACAAAACTTTTTTCAAACCAGTATAATCTATAAGAGCTTTCTTTGTCAAAGGCTGAAATCTTGGAGTCAGTAGGAGGGAAAAATTTATTTCTGTATTTTGTGAAAACGTAATCACTTTCATCTTGCTATGTCCTTTCCTTCCAGGGGCAAAAGACATGATGAGAGCCTACTCTGACATGAGAGAAGCCAATTACAAAAATTCAGACAAATACTTCCATGCCCGGGGGAACTATGAGGCTGCACAAAGGGGACCTGGGGGCGTATGGGCTGCTGAAGTGATCAGGTAAGAGGGCTCCTGAGGATGCAGGGATGGGTGAGCTCAGCCTCGCTCCCTTGAAGAGCCAGGAGGGGCCAACACTGGAGAAGTTTCCTGTGTGGACTGTGGCCCCGCCTCCTCCTGTCCACGCTGCCCCTCTGTGCCCAGTGTGGGGTCTGAGAGGCTGGTAGAGCCAGAGCAAGGCTAGTGGGATGGGTGGTTCCCACTGTGTCCTATGTGAGCTGTCCACCCAGCATGAGGGGGAGTCAGGCGGGGCTGAGTGGGCTGTGCCCAGGCAGGGTCAGTGTTCTAGCCCCACTTTCCAGGGCTCCTCTCAGTCATTCATCCTTTGGCAAGGAGAGAGTTGGGAGGGTGGGGCTGTTGCTCATCAGCCTCTGAGGCATCTCCTCCTTGCTCTTCTTCATTACAGCGATGCCAGAGAGAATTCTCAGAGGGTCACGGACCTTTTTAAGCATGGAGACAGCGGCCATGGAGCGGAGGACTCGAGGGCCGACCAGTTTGCCAATGAATGGGGCCGGAGTGGCAAAGACCCCAATCACTTCAGACCTAACGGCCTGCCTGACAAATACTGAGCTCCCCTCTCACTCTGCTCTCAGGAGACGGGGCTGCGAGTCCAGAGTCATTGAGTTCTATATCCCTAGATGCTTTTGGAGGGCACATAGTAGGTGTCTAATAAATGCTTAAAAGATTGAATTGTTGAAAACTGTGTGTTATTCTTTGGTATAAAGACTGCCTGTTTGGTACCAAGGAGTGATGGATGGGCACCCCTGTGAAGCCTGAGACTGTGCCTGTGTGTCTGAGTGTAGGGGAGACAATCTCAGTGTCACACATGGCAGACACCCTGCTGCAACTTTCCTTGAACCATATCTGCTCCTCTTCAGGTCGCTCTGGTTACATGTGTGCTATGTAACCTCCTGTGTCCAGTTCCAGTCCTATTCACACCCTGTCAGTGGGTACTGTCACCTTCTCTGTCCCCAGGATCCAGTCCCCTTAGTTTTGTTCCTCAGTGGTTTCTGTCTAGGGGCAGGGGACACAGCCATGGGAGGATTGGACCATGGGATTCTGCTCCATCAACTGTCACCTTGGTCTTCTGTTTATTTCTCAGCAACAACTACAAATCTAATTATTGACCAGTTTCTGTCCATGCCATCTTAGAAATGCCTCTAAAGCAGTTTCTCTCTACCTTATTTCCATTGCCTTACACAAGGATCCGAAGATGTCAAGAAATGGAGGCAAGTGACAACATCGAGATTAAGTATCAGGACCAATTTGCCACAAGGCATTTGAACATGATATTCCCTTCAACACTGTTCCCACCTACTTTTCACATGGCTACTGACAACCTATCCTGTGACTCTCACTGGAAATCCCTTGTCAGAGTAGGCCTTCTCTGAATGGCTACTTTTTCCTTCTTAAACTTTTCAGTATATGGAATGATTTTATTGGTTTACTTTGTCTGTTATTTTCATTTTTGTTGCTCTGATTTTTTTTCTTGGTCTGTCTTCCACCCTGTTTTACAATAATTTCTGTCTTATTTAACTTTAAATATTTAGAAGCAAAGTACCTGGCACATAATATCACCTCGACAAGCCCTTATTGAACAAGTGAAAGATTTAAACTATTTTTTGACTTACTAGTTAAAAAGTGACTTTTTCAAGGTAGGGGTGTTTTATTTAAAAAGTATAGTTAGGGAGCTAATGAGGAGTAATTTATCAACTCTAAAGAGAAAAGAAATAACAGCTGGCCCAAAGTGAAGAGGAAAAAGGAGGAGGTGGGGTCAAGCTCACAGGCGATGGGTTAACCTGAAAAGGAGTAAGAAGTTTCTCATGAAAAGGAAAGAAGGTGAAGAGAAGGGGGTCAGGAGATGCAGAACATTTGAGATGGAGGACAAAGGACCTGAAGGAGTCCAGTTATATCTGCTATTGTTTTATATTGCTGTCACAACAGGGCAAAAAGCATGACTGTCTTATTGTTTGTCATCCTTGCATCCCAAGTACCTACCACAGTCCTTGGCCTATGGTAGATGCTCAGTAAACATTTGTTGAATGAATTAATGATGTAGGAAGAAAAGTATTCTGCAGAGGATGACAGACCTGGGAGGGATGTTTGGAACTTGTGGAGAGTGGGGATATTTGATGTGGGTTTCAGTCTAGAGAACGTGATAATGTGTCACTTGAAGATGAATATGCAAATCTATACCAAACTTTATAGTAAAATACCATCCATACTGACATAAATTCACTGTATCATAGAAAAAATGATTTCCTTTAGCAATGCTTTGCAAGCTTTCTTATAGAAATAAATATTCTGAACCTTGGTGATGGCTTTCAAGTGTGTCAACTTGTCTAGGCTGAACTACAGTCCTCAGAGTTTCCTTTCTACTATGGCCCAGTTAGGGTGGGCCAAAAGAGATATTCTCTCTCTAGAATTGAAGGATGGGGGAGGAGGGGCCATTTTGTTGTATACGCACATTTTCCTGCAGTTATTCAATCGAGATGCTGCTGTGAAGGGATTTAGCAGATGTGATTAAAGTCCCTATAAATTGTCTTTACCTTAATCAAATGGGCAATTGTCCTAGGGAGGACTGACTTAGTCAGTCTGAAGGCCTTTAGAAGAATTGTTAGATCTTCCCTGAGCTGGACCCCAGATAGCCACTGGGTCTGCAATTGCTCTCCCATTTCCCTGGATCGTGCCATCCTGACTGCCTTTGGACAACAAGCTTCAGGCTGTGCTGTGGAGTTTCAGGCTGCTCATATCCTCCCCTTCCTGACAGCCTATGTTTTGGGCTTCACACTTGTTCAGCCAGCCCTCACAACTGTGTATGCCAATTCCTTGTAATAAATCCCTAATATAGAATATAGGTGTATATATTCCATAGGTTCCCCTTCTCTGGTTGAACTCTGACTGTTACAGAATTTGGTAGTAGAAGTTGTTCCAGAGGAACAGAATCTTAAACATAGATACAGATGTCGATTCCATTTCTTACAAAGAATTGGCTTATGCAGTGGTGGGGACTAGCTAAGTCCAAAGTCTACGGGGAAGAACTGTTTTTCTTGCAGTGAAGCAGGGAGGATAAGCAGGCTGGAGCTCTATAGGCATGGGCTGAAGCTCTTGTCCACAGGTGGAACATTCTCTGTCTGGGGTGGTTCCTCCCTTTGGAAATAATTCTTCCAAACTGGCATAACCTCAAGTTACAAGGATGGAAAACAAAAATTCTTTTAGTGGATCAGTAGGGATAATAGTGAGAAAAGCCACTGCTGCTTTTTTGCCTTAATTCTTGAACTCATGAATTGTGGCTACAGGAAAAACAGCACCATATATTGGACATTGGTTTAGAAAATATAAATACCATGTCCTGTGGGACATTGAGGAATCCCTAAAAGGTGTTGTCATCTAGCTGGCACTGTAGCTGAGTCTTCCAAAGGTTATTTCACCATTCTACCCAGCCAGCTACTTCAGGCTAATAAGGAATATAGTTAGTAAATTCCATGAATGTGGCCCATTGCCGTACTTGATTTGCTGTGCAATGAGTTCCTTGATCAGACATAACACTCTGGAAAACCATGATGGTGGGTGAGGCATTCTGTAAGTCCGCCGACTTGGGCAGAAGCACTGTATGAAGGGCAGGCAGCTCTATATTCAGAGTGTCTGTTCCATTAAGAAAAAGCACTGCAGTCACCCAATGTATCAGCCTGGCACTAGGTGGCTGACTGATCACCCCAGGCAATGGTGCCTTATCAGGGGCTCAGTGTTGGTCTCTGCTGCTGGTAGATCAGGCACTCAGTGGGGGCTGTAGCCAGCTTGGCCTTGGTGAGTGGAAGTCCATGTTGCTGAGCCCATGCAGAACCTCAACCCTCTACTACGGCCATTTTGTTCATGAGTCCATTGAGCAATGACAGGAGTGGTTGGAGATAGAGTCTGGACAAAAGATTTGACCAAGCATTTCTCCAAAGATACAGAAATGGTCAAAAAGCAAACGGAAACAATAGTCAACATCATTATTCATAAGGAAAATGCAAACCAAAACCACAATGAGATAATCCTTTACATCAACTAGGAAGGAGATAATCAAAGACAATAACAAGTGTTGGTGAGACTGTGGAGAGCCTGGAACCCTCATACATTGCTGGTGGGAAAGTGAAATAGTGCAGCTCACTTTGGAGAAAGGTGGCAGTTCCCCAAGTGTTAAACATAAAGTTACCATATAAACCTGCAATTCTGCCCATCAGTACATAACAAAAGTAAATGAAAACATATTCCCATAAAAATTTGTACACCAATGCTCATTACAGCATTATTCAATATAACCAAAAAGTGGAAGGAACACAAATATTTATCAATTAACGGGTGCTTAAATAAAATGTGGTGTGCACAATGGACATAAAAGGAATAAAGTACTAATATATGCTATAACATGGATGAACCTTAAAAACATTATGCATAATAAGAAAAGCCAAGCAGAAAAGGCCACATATTATATGATTTCATTTGTATGACGTCCAGAATTGTAAAATTCAAAGAGACAGAAAGAAAATTAGTGCTTTCAAGGAGAGGAAATGGCGAGTGACTGCTAAAGAGGATGAGGTTTCTTTTGGGGATGATGAAAATATTCTGGAATTACATAGAGGTGATGATTGCACAACCTTGCAAATATACTAAAAACACACTGAATTGTACACTTTAAAAAGGTGATTATTTTGGTATTTGAGTATATCTCTTTTTTTTTTAAGGAAACTTGTGATAAATTCCTTTTCATTTTATTTTATTTATTTATTTTTTAAAGATTTTTATTGGGGAATTGGGGGATGGGAACAGCGCTGGGGAATTGGGGGAAGGGGAACAGACAAGTTGCTGTCCTTTTGATCTTTAGTCTAGTTGTGGAGAACGTTGCTTCACTGGCCCAAGTTGGCACCATCATTGCACTCTTCTCGGGTGAGGTAGATCAGTTGCTGTCTTCTGTACAGCCACTCACGCTGGCTGCTGGCTACACATGGTAGCCCATGGCGACCCACTGCAGCAGGGGCTGCAGCCTACGCCATTGCCGGCGACTCATGGCAGCCCAGCTCCAGGTTGAGCTGTTGTTCAGCATCTTAGCTGTGGAGGGCAGTGTCACTGGTCCTCATATGTGGGATCTGAACCGGGGCCTTCTGGCCTCCCAAGCCTGCTCTTAACCAACGCGCCACTCTGCTGGCCTGAGTATATCTCAATTTAAAAATTGCGTGAGAAAAAAATTTGTAAATTATAGACTAGAGTCCAGGGGTAAAAAGAGGGGGCATTCATCATATAATGTGTGCCATTGCCATAAAATGGGACATTATGCAGTCATTTAAGATAATACCCATATTATATAGGATAGCATTTAAAAATCCTGTTTACTATTATAATGACAGGCAACAAAAGAATATGTTGCTTATCTTATGCATAGGGAAATTTCTAAAGAATATTATTATCACTTATCTCCCTATGAAATAAGTAAAACTCTTGCCATATTTAGTGTAAGATATTAACTATGTTTTGGGTAAAAAATAAACTAGGGATTACCAAGATTGGCCAGAAGCATACTGGAAAATAATAACGGCTAACATTTACTGACCTCGTTCTGTTCTTAGTGGGTCACAGAAACCCCATGGTGTAGACCATTTTTCAGATGAGGAAACTGGGGTGCAGAGAAATTGAGTAACTTGCTCCAGGTC